GGCGGTGGAGCTTTGGTGGCATGATTTTGGACCGAGATGAGTTTTGTGTTTTGGTTTTTTGTTTTTATTCCACGGTTTTTTCCCCAGCCCCGGGTAGGGTTGTGGGGTGTGAGCAAGTCTGTCCATGTGGGGACTGGGCGGCAGTGGAACGTGGACCCCCCGATGTCTCTGTGATGGAGCATCCCTCCCTTGGCTACCGCAGCCCCGCGGGATTGTGATCCACAGCATTCGTGGAAGGCCCCGGGTGGTGATCCCTCTGACACCGGGCTCCCAGATGGCAGTCAAAGAAGGGCGTGTCACGCCTTCATTAATTATGCACTGCTTTCAAATCCCCCTCCTTATTTAGCCCGTGCCCATGCTGCATATCGCAGAGGCATGGCAGCTCCTGGATCACTTGGCAGAAGCAAAGCACGTCCCAGGCAGCCCAGCACGAAGCTGACAAACATGGGTGTCGACGGCTGCTTCTATTTCTGGCTCTGTTGCTACACTCTAAGAGCTTTTCCTTGTGTGCTTTCCTGGTCTGCAGTTTCTGGGTGGTGAGAGAGTACCAGCCCCTGGTTAAAGTGCCCACCAAGCTAGAAGCTGTTGAGGTTTCTCCCCCCTCCCCAGGGACTTCCCCAGCCTGTAGGAAAGGGTCTGAGGAGAATGGTTGTCCAAGCTAGTTTTAATGAAAGCTCATCTTTGCTCTTCACTAGTGCTACGGGGCAGAGTAAGCCTCTGAGACAAACTCAGGGTGGATGATGTAGCTGCTTCTCTGGGGTCTTGTTGTCATGAAGTGGCTTGTGTCCCATCTAGAAAGGCAAATAAAAAAACCAGCCATGTGTAGTTGAAACTCCAGTGAGAAAGAAGAGCAGAAAACCCACTTTCTGGCTGCCAGTGGACACACAGCTGCCCAGATCCGTTTTAGTATGTGTCTTTAGGCACTGAGGGCAAGTGAAGCCCAGGCACTGAAACTCCCTAGCACTGCCATCTCAGCAAGCTTCTTCCAGTGGGTCTCCCACCCTGCAAACACTAGCCCTTTCTTGCAGTGTTGTTTTCTCAAAGGCTTCATTCCCAGGCCCATGCCAGTTCAGGAAAATATGCCTGTTTCTCAGTGAAGACCTTGAGAATCATCTCAGCAAGGCACAGGCATAGGGTCATCTATAGGGAACCCAGGGCTCCCTGTTTTTTCTTTTTGTTTGCTTTTAGTTCTAGGCTCAGGAATGTAAAGCCAATCATATTTTTTTTTTTTTTTGCAAAACCTGACGCCTGATTTTGGCCCCTAATGGGTTGATGCAGTAGAAAAGTGATGACTAAGCTGGTTGAACAACTTCCCCTTTCCCCTCCCTTCTTCCCCAGGGCTGTAAAAAGCTGCCCTGCAATGGAGACATCCTGAAAGTAAACGTGTGCCGATTAAAGGTGCTGCTGGACCTGCAGTGGGTGAAGGACAGGACTGATTACTGCATAATGAACAGCGTGACCAGGGAACAGGTTCTTGGATAAGAAGAGCAAACAGTGATAACAGAAAACACAGGAGCAGCACAAGAAACACTGGTGTTGGCCCCAAAACTCGGAGATGCTATGTTACATGCAGCCATGCTTAGGGGTGCCAACGAGATTTCAGGTCCAATGCTTAGAGGTGCCAGAATTTCAGTCCCAAGGACTGCTGGATGAGACCAAGCATAGAAATACCTTTCCTGTGAGTAAATTTAGCAACCATGGGTAGCCACAATATGCTCCACAGCTCAGCATCGCAATGGTGTCCTGACCTCCCTGGTCATGTTCACTTATCTTGTGAGGTGGAGCCGCAGGCACTGCATCACTGCCTGCATGGGCACCATGATGGGACCTGCTACCCCTCAAAGTCTGCAGTCTGCACCATTGTCTCCAGAAAAATTCTCTGAGAAATTTTGTGTGAAGCTCTAATGAAAGGAGACATAGTGGCTGGATGGCACTAGGAAAAAAATAATTGGGTTTTCTCTCAGGGTAACCTGCTTGGAGTGCTCTCCGCACTGAACCCATCCACACCTAGGGCTCCTGTGCGAGTAAGATGGCTGGACACCATGGGTAGATGTACAGAATATCATTCTGGGGTTGTAGCTGCAGCACGGAATACTCCTGCAGGAGACAGGCGAGGTAGGGTGAGTGATGGCCCCAAGGACGAGGGACTTGATGTCCCTCCCAATCCGAGGCAAGCCAACCCCACTCCATCCAACCCCACCCCATCCAACCTCACCCATCCCATCCCATCCCATCCCATCCCATCCCATCCCATCCCATCCCATCCCATCCCATCCAATCCCATGGGAAGCCATCTCAACCTTACAGCCCTCTCTTCTGGTGAATGAAGATGCTTTCTGATGGTGTGGGCCCCGTCAACATAGTAGTCCATCCCTCGTAGGCAGTAGTGGCATCCAGAGGAAGGGCTGTAGTAGCCCTGAAAGGGTCCCCTCCCTGACATGGTGTATATGGGCTGCTTGTGCAACATGCTGGTGACCGCCTCGCTCTCTGCAAGTGGAGGGATAGCGAGGATACAGGTGAGGAGCCACCAGCCCATCACCTGGATGGACACCAGCATGGCACGGGCACAGCTGCAGCTGGAGCACAGGGACAGGGTGAGGGTAATTACCAGTTTGATTGAGGCAGGTGGATTTAGGGGGATACTGCACAGGTGTGCTCTGCAGTAAGTTGTTCATCCTTGTCTCCTGCAAGGAGCGATGGCAGCAGTTACAGAATTGCGACCCTCCTGCTGATGAGCCTGAGGGGCTGGCAGCACCTGAGATGGCTCCAGTTTGAGGGGTGTTCAGGGGGGGCTGGACTCTACCTTGGATGGAAGTGGGAGGTAAGTGGAGTACTTATTCCAGGCTGCGCTATTGTAGGGACCTGTTCTCCAGGTGATGTACTTGTCCTCGTTGACAAAAACTGGGTTGTACTTCTCTGCAATGGAAAAGTGACAGGCAAGAGTGTCCTATGGTGCTGAGGACATGGGGGGATGGCTGTAGAGTCCTGACTGTTCTCCTTCTCACTGAAAGGCAGTGCCACAGGACCAGGGGACATGCCAGAGGTGTGCTAATCCTGGGATCATTGTTAAGGATCAGTGATGGAGGCAACATCCACCCCTTCCAGCTTGCTGGTCACTCTTCTCTGCCCATGCAGCAGCCTTGGTCCTGGGCGCTATGGGGTGCCAGGAGGGTGTCCCCCAACAGCACCTACCACCACAGAGGATTTGGGCGCTACTGGGGGACTTTGGGACTTAGGGACTACTGGGAGAACCTTGGTGACCTGCAGACATCCCTCAGAGACAGGGACAGTCTCAGCATAGGGATGGGGACAGGCAGCCACGGCAAAGCCACAAGCACAGATGCCGAGGGAGGGTCCCCATGCTGCTGTGGAGGGGATGCAGGATGCAGAAGGGGGGATGAACAGAGCCACCACCAGCCCCCTTAGCCCCCTAACCCCACAGGGATGTGCCCTGTGTGACACGGGGGGACAGCTGGGACCTGGGCAGTTACCTTCAGACCTGGTCATCCAGTACTTCTGGGGCCAGTAGGCACTGGGGTCGATGGTGTTCCTGTAATACTCCTGCATTTCTGCCTTAATCAGGTCCTTGGGCTGGATTTGGCTTGCCTGATTTTGCACTGGAGGCACTGTTAATCCCTACAGAGAGCAAGGAGTGGAGAGAGACACCCAGGACATGTGGCAGCATCTGCCTTCATAGCAGTCGGTGCACACAGTGAAGCTGACTACCAGGCAGGGTCTAACCCTGGAGATGCAGCTGGAGATCTGAGCACCAGGCCTCCCTTTGCCGTGGGTGGGCATGGGGGTCACAGCAGCACCACAATTCCCCCAAGCTTCCTGCTTCCCCAAAACCAGGGGACAAAGAATGGCGAGACCTCACTGGCTCCTGTCTCCCTGCACCCACGGTGCCCTTAGGCATCCAGCAATTTGCAGAGTGGGAGGTGGGGTGGGTGCATTGGGGCTGCCAGGTCTGGGGCCAGCAGAGATTGGGAAAGGAGTTACAGGACCAGACTGATGTCCTACAGGTGGCAAAGCCCAGGACGGCTGGAGTCTTGCAGGACAGATGGGGGCCCTGTTTGCACCAGCCATTTCTGTCCCTGCACAGTGGTTGACATCCCTCTCCATGCCCTCTGCTGGCTCCCTCATTATAATGCACATTCTAACGAGGCAAGAGATGATCCAGGTCACAGCATGCTTTGCATTGGAGCCTGCATGCTTGTTAGCTCATGTGGGGAAAGCTGTGTGTCCCACAGACACCCCCAAAGTGAGGCCTTGGCTCAGGGATCCCTCCTCCTCCAGGACCAGAGCTGGGAGGGGCTCTTCAGTGCTCAGATCTCCTCCTGGCCTTCCCAAAGTTCTCCTTGGCATGGAAGGCCTCCCAGTCAGACCTGAGCAGAGCCTGGGGACTCTGTGTTGGAGCAGCTCTCAGTCACCCAATCTGTACCTGCATTGTCATCATTCACACAGGAGCCCTGCCACTGCCCCAGCTTCCCCCTCCTCAGCAGATCCTGCCCCTTGCGCACTCTGGAAGCTTCTGATGGGCAGGGCTGACGTGCGAGAGCTTACGCTGGTGACCGACAGCCCTGGGAGCCCGAAGCCACTGCAGGGTGCGACTTCAACGAACAAGAATTCAGTGAGCACAGGCTGTGGGGTGTCAAACACTTTCCTAACCAGGGAGCATGACCCCTCCCATTAAACACACGTGGCGAGGCACCCCATGAGTCCGTGTGCTACTCCCTTGCCCAGCACCAAGCATCAACAGCTGGGTAGGGATAGAAACGCCAATGTTTCATCCTCCCATGACATTTACCTGTGTCACAAACTTGTTTTCTTTGAAGACCGGCCGTGCAGTCTCATCTCGATAGGCCTTTTTGACAGAGTGTGGTGGGCGGTAGGAGTCGGTGTAAGTGCTGACAGGTGTCTTGTGTTTTTTGGAGAAGAGGAACATGGTGCAGGAGCCTGCTGGGATGGGAGTGCCTGGAGTCTCAGAGGTACCTGGGGATGCCCTGCTGGATGAGCAGCACTGTGTGGGAGTGCGGGCTTGCACCTCCCCCTGCCCAGGGTGGTGCTTATGTCATCAGTGATGTCACAGTCTGGGAGCAGGGGCATTTGGAAATACGGAATTGTAGAAAGCTTTGGGTTGGAAGGGACCTGAAAAGTCACCTAGTCCAACCCCCTTGCAGTGAGCAGGGACATCTTTAACTCGATCAGCATGAAAAGAGTCCCATCAGGCATGACCTTGAATGTCTCCAGGGATGGGGCCTCCACCACCTCTTCGGACAACCTGTTCCAGTGCTTCACCACCCTCTTGGCAAAAAATGTCTTCCTTGTATCTAGTCTAACTAAATCTACCCTCTTGTAGCTTAAAGTCATTACCTGTCTTACAACATGCCTTATTGAAAACATTATCCCCATCTTTCTTCTAAGCCTCCTTGAAGTACTGGAAGGCCACGATAACGTCTCCTTGGGATTCTTCTCCAGGCTGAACAATCCCAATTCTCTCACCCTTTTTTCATAGGAGAGGTGCTCCAGGCTCCTGATCATTTGGTGGCTTTCTGGCAGTCCCATAGCTCACTCTGGTTTGAGCCTAGGGCACAATAATTTTTGCATGCATCCCTCCATGGGCTACACCCTCGCGGCTTGCTCCTCGCTCTGGGTTTACCCCCTGCTGCAGGAAACTACCGTAACAATGGTAGGAAACAGTTTCAGTTGGTCCTAGTCAAGGTAATTTTATTTTGGGAGGTGCAGGAGCACCTTATGGCTTTTCAAGTCCTTCTCCTGTACTTCCTTGGAAATCATGCAAGCACACACCAGCCACTGCCCAGGGCACAGCACCAGGCACCGCTGTCCCAGTCTTCTGCAGTAGACAGGGGAATTATTGCCTGCTCTGTTTCCCCTTCTTAATTAAAAAGCTGGATTTAGGTGATCCTGGGTGGTTTGTTTGCTGTTTTGTTCCCAGTGATGGGCTCTGCAGTCCCCAAGTGATCCTAATATACCTCACTGCAGAGAGGCAGCTGGGTTATGCCAGGGAGGAGGGATTTGCATGAACTGGGTTTGCTTTTCCCTGAGCTGGGGAGTCAAGCAGAAATCCCTGCCCTGGCAGAAACCTCGCTCTGCCCTGGCTTGTCACACAGCGCCAACTCAGAGCCCTGCTCTGCTCCTATCTCCAGGCTCTCTGCTGCCACATTTTTGGAGACAACTGCTGAAGATCTGTGTCCCATCTCAGCAGGCCAGATGCCAACCTGCCTGTGTGAGGGGCTGCAGAGCCTGGGTGCACTTTGTACCCTTTCACCCCAGTTTGCTCCAATGAGAAAGGCTGGCAGGCTGGTTTTCATATGTATGCTTTTTAATATCATTAATTCTGTTACACTACACACAACCAGTAACAATGATAAATACTGCAATGGAAATGTTAAAAAAAATATTATACATGTTTCATGTTTTTGAATAAAACCCCACATTTTTAAATAAATTAATGCAATAAAACTGATGGTAGAAAAAAGAAAACCCAAAACAAACCACGACACAACTGATCTGTTTAAGGCAATACTCTACGCAGACGAGAACAGAAGTACAACAGTGTGCTACATGTTCTGGACAGGAAAAAAAGAAAAAAAAGAATATCCATACACAATGCAGATTGATGCTTTGTGAGTGAAAAAAACTCCCAAAACCAGATAATAAAACCAATGGCCAAGTCAAGTGCAGCATTAATACACTCTGCATGTCAAATGATTAGCAGGTTCCTAACATGGACTAAGGTCAAGCTACAACAAACTTATCTTCCTAATTAAAATGTTATTTAGGTCAAACCCTACATTTAACTCTACTTTGCATTTCGCTGTTTCAGCTATGTTTCACTATATGCAAGGACAGTTGGAAATTTATCTCCTGCTCTTGAGAGTAATGCAAAGGTTGGGAGGTTTCTTCTCCTGAAAGATATTTTGATGAAATACATCCAAAAAGGATCTCGCAACCTCCCGCAACCTCTGCCCCTGGGGTGCCAGGCACCGCACAGGGAGAGGAGACCTGGGAAGCATTTGCTTGGGTTTAATTTTTTTCCAAGCTGAGGACACGAAATGGAAGCGTGGGTTTGATCCAGACTCAGAGGAGTGCTGCTTCCCTGTCTGCCAGAAATGTCTCTGGAGCCTGCTGAAACCAATCTGCCAGCATAGGAGAAACCCAGCCTGTATCCAGCCTCTGGATACAGCCACGACGTTTGCTATTAAGGTTAACGCAAAGCCCCATACCTGCCTGGACAGCCAACGAACCTCAACTATTAATGCAGCCCAGAACTTGGCCACTGGAAGGTGGACAATAATCATAATGCCAAGAAAAATCCCCCTGTGCCTCCATAAAGTAAAGAAAAGGGACAGTAGCTGCTTTCTGCCAGCTTCCCCCAGTAGATCCCCATCAGCTGCCACCTACGCAAGACGGGCAGCACTAGTCCTCACCAGCATTGACCGAGCACATTCCTAGTAAGGTGCGTGTCTGCAAGGTACTGCCAAGGGGCAAAGAAGCTTCTTCGGACATGGTCAGAGCCTCCTGTACTGCCCTGCTAGAGTATGTGCGGAGGAAGCTATGGTACACGAGGAAACAAAACCAAGCGGAGTTATTAGACTTGTGATGACCAACAACTGTCCAGGCTGCCTTGGGTTTGGGTGGGAAACGGGGGATGCATATCTGAGCTAAGAGTCATTTTGGTGCAGCTGCCTCTGATGCTCATCACTAGTGCACGGAGTAGCGAGGAGGATGGGTGATGGCTCCTTTGAGCAAAGACAAGTGGAAGGAGGATGCGTGCAATATAACAAGGCTTGCAATTCTAGGACTAACCACTGGACACAGATACCGAGGATTACCTGTGACGACTAGCTATCCTTCTACCATTGTTGCTCCTTCCCCCATTTCATGGTCTGACTCTTCCTCAGTTCGGGAAGCCGTGGCTGTTTGGCATGATGGACAGCACTGACTTTCCCACCCCAGTCCCTGCACAAAGCACAGGGTGACTCAGCTACAGGATCTACAATGAGGTCTGGAAGTCACATGTTAGGCACAGACCAGCTCTGCAGACAAGTAGCACCTGCTTTCAGACCCTTCAGAAAGCTGTGTCATGGTGGCTCATTTCCTTTATTAAACTGTAGGTTCAGTAACTTCTGTGGAAGGATTAAAAATGGTTAAAAATGTGCAAAAAGGGTGGGGGAAACCACAAAACTTTCTCCATTTTCTTCTCTGCAAAGACTTCACCCTCCACAAGAGTCTTTCTTCCTGCAGAACTGCAGCCATACCAGCCTGTCTTACAGCACCCTGCCCCAGTGCAGCAAGAGCACAGCCCGCAGGCATCCCACCCCTGCCTCTGCTGCAGGTCTCCAGCCCGCACCAACAGCACACAGGCTGGCTGGCCTGGAACCTCTCCTGTGGGTCACAGACCTCCCACAGCACTGAGACCCAGAGGGCGAAGGTGGCCAGCTCAGCTTGCTGGATCACACCAAGGTTTCATAGAACAATTCAGGTTGGAAAAGACCCTTGGGATCATGGAGTCCATTAACCCTACACTACCAGTTCACCCCTAAACTATATCACCCACTAAACTGGCAAAACCTCAGCCCCACAGGCTTCAGGTGGGTGAAGAGAAATCCCAGCCTGCTCTCTGGCTCACCCAGCATCTTGTTTGTTGGGTCTCCTACTGGTCTGATGTTTGTCTTGTGTTTATCTCAAGACAGAGGCAGCTACTAGCCAAACACAGAGCTTTTTCATGAAAAAAGACTGAGTAAAGAAATATGTGAGCTGGGAGATGGAGATGAAGGTGATAAAAAACAGAAGGGCTTTTGTGAGGAGAGCTTGTCCAAGTTTTCCAGCTCTTTTCATGCATCTGTATTATGTCTCACAACAAACTTTGTGTCTATCGAATCATGCGGGCTTGATGAAGGTGGGTAACGAGCGGAGTTGCAGCTTTTTTGGGGTGCGGAAGCAAGAAGACAGCCTGCGTGGAAAGCAGTGCTTCCCAGTGAGCTCACCTGGGGCAGCTGGACAGGCTACTCAGGGAGAAATGCTGCTCCAAGGGTAAACATCTCAGCAGATAACGGGACTTATCTCAGCGTGGCCTTCCGGTGGCTTTTTTTTTTTAACTTGTGCCTACTGTGCTGGTTTCCAATGACATGTCTGAGATGGCCACATTTTAACAAGATTTCTTCTATACCTTCCACTCCTTGAAGCAATCCCACCACCTGTATCAACATTTACTACTGTCGAAACGGCTTCACAGACCAGGCACAACCAGCGAGGCAGGCTCCTTTCAGGAACAAATCCATGTTGTGTTGGA